TCATCCACAAGAGTTGTTCACCGTATGCTGTGAACATTCATCAGATGACATCGAAATACAGTAGCACCGAAATACTCTCAGTGCATTCAGTTTCACTAAACAACGATCATAATGATATTTTAATGTGAATGTACATTTTCAATACGACATATTGATAACATGAATGATAATGGTGCTGAATCAGTGACCATTACAGAAGTAAATGGATTAGTGATCAGTTGAATATATAAATGAGGATTCGATCGATTCAGGTTTCGTTACGCACATGCGAAAGATCGTCTACAAAGGCGTTTGTTCAATGCGGCCAAAAAGGCCCTGGCCCGGATTCCAACTCGTTCGGTGCGATTAGGTGATAAAGAACTGGACGCAGATTGTCCGGTCTGCATCGACCCCTATCGCACCGGTGATATTGTTCGCGCACTTCCGTGCAGGTATCTCTTTGATATAATAACATTTTTGGACCATATTTTCATTTTAGTAAGCATTTATTGAGATATATGAGAAGGAATAAATAAACTTATTTACTTATAAATTGATGAAGCAATTCTCAAATGATTACTATGCTTTATTATCGAACATTCAAATTCCTTACAACACAGCTGCGTCTTGTGAACAATTTAACATATCAAGCATCGAATGAATATCCATATTCGCCATTGAATGTCCAAGCAACTTGGAAGAAGCTGTTCGGTTAACGTGCTAAATATACATCCTAAAAATCACATTCGAATTACTCGAAATCGTTCATTATTTGCAAACTCAGGAGATCCGAAATCATTAAAAATCATTTCATTTGAAAGCGACGTTTAAAGACATTTGCAAGCGACATTTCTGATGACGTTTGTCCCATTAAAAGAATAGTTTCCATCTTTGTTAGATCAAGAGTTCAACAAAACAAAAGTGCGAAGATTTGTAATCGAAAATAGCGATGAGAAAACAATCCGCAACACCTGAACAAAAATTTATTTATAGACTTTCCACAGATTGATTTCGTAAGTGGTTAATTGATTTCGTGAGCTAATGTATTCGAAGAATGACAAATTAAACTTGCGTAAACCTAATTATTTTTCAGCCAAAGCGATTTTTCAGTTGCATTAGTTTCCCAGTGAATAATCGTAATCTCGTCAATTGCAGACACGTTTTTCACAAAACTTGTGTCGATCCATGGCTTTTGGAGCATCGAACGTGTCCAATGTGCAAAAGTGATATTCTTAAAGTAAGATTCTGTACTGCTTCTTTGCAAATTCGAGTGAAATTTTTCTGACCCACCACTAACTATGGTGATTGTTTTAACATCGACTCGTTGAATGCGTGAATGTACCTTTGAAAATTATTTTGGGTGCTTATCAGTTCAGTAATAACTACTAAATTGAAGCAATCCACATCAATTGAAGCAATCTTGTGCAAATCAATTGTTATTTCGATGCATTATGCAATGAATCGTTTAATCGATTCGTTCATCTGACTTTGTATAGGAACTTGCCTCACCCAACAGAAATACCTATAAATAAATCCAACTGCAAGGCTGCTTCGCACTTATAAGATTTAATTTTATATGCGATTCGGAACACTAAATTTATCAGCCTTTTCGTTGCCTTGATCTAAAGTGCGTGTCTATCGGAAGATATAAATATATTATGTAAACTCGAGAAATGCGTTAGCCTTCAACATTCAATCACTGTAAAATAATCAAATATTGCCAGTAAAATGCCACTGATTCAGTTGTGAGTTGAGGAGACACTCTAAGAAAATATCAAAACTTCACGATCTAGAGGCGGCATTTCAACGTGTTTTTATGACTGAATAATTGAAAGAGTTATCATCACTCGATCAAACGAATTCAGCTGTGAATATTGTTAAGAAATTGGATTTATGCAATACAATGAGATCTAATGAGATCCGTAATTCATTGCTCTGTTCGTGCCACATAAACAATAAAATATACCTCGAATGAATCATTCCATTCGAATGAACAACATTCAAATAAATTAATAATATCCGATATTAGAGGCATTCATCTAACAACAATCGAACCATCTAACAATTCACTTCATATCCATCAAGTTCTTTTCGGAAGTTCATTAAAATCTTCTACCTGAACGATTCACCCGAACACTTTTTTGTTAGCATGTTATATGACTTCGTCAGTTCAAATTTCATTCGCACAAGTGTTTGTGTAAAGGACCGAAGAAGTGGTTGTTGAATTAGAATCAAAATTCTGAGTGCATCTATGATTCCCACCAAGGTTGATATTCGCAAGCAAAAATTAACACTCGATCAACGTTGTGATCAATCGCTGCGTGTCTGACAACATGCAGTTGTGGGCTTTGTTGCGAACTAATGGTTATAATGTAGTGGATGAAATGAGCGCTTATTGCGGAACTATATGCATATTAGATATAACGAAAGCATTGCGTGACTCGGTGACTTCATTAGCCACAATGAACCACTGAACTGATTATAGCCACATTTGAAGGCGTTTGGTTATCACGTCTCAGTAGGTCGTCGTACGCAAACCACAGCACAAATCGAAGATACACGTGTGCTATCATCGAGTGATGCGGATCGATTGAGTATGGATGTACATTCAAACGCTTCTGAATCGGCATTCCCTTATGCTTCTCACAGTGAAGTGCATGATCCGTTCAGCTTCACACCATCCACTTCACCCCAACTTGTTCAGGTAGTTCCGTGTATCATTGCTTTCACTGCTTATCCATTATCATTAGCAGTGGTGATTGTTGTTTTATTCAATTTTGATTTTTCTGTTCTTTGCATGGTCACTCAGTAATGTTCATGTTCAGCAGGTGATGCATTGCTCGAATGCACGAGCATTTTCGATAATCCCGTTAACTGTGCACAGTACAGCGTCCTCGATTATCACTGAGCGACAACCGAATACCGTACTTGCTGCTGGTTCGTTGATTTCACCTGTTGTTGTTTCATTTCGCATTCGTTGTTATTCTAGTTACCATCGGGATTATTGTTATCATTATTAATGCAATACAGTGTTCATGACACCATTATTGTTTATTTCTTGTGTTGTTGTTAAATAGAAAAGAACCATTTGAATGATCACATCACATCATCGCTTCCATCAAACCTTTCAGCAGATGTTACGGATGTGAATAAGCCGAGTACGTCGTCGTCGATGGCTCTGTCCAGCAGCAGCAGCACCACCACCACCAAACGACAGTCTCAGTCTCGTCCCCAAGCATCAGTCCGTCAACCGATCGCCGGCCAGCTCGTCAATCTGGTTCATGTTCGGTCCAAGTCGCTCTCTCACACTCGATCGTTCGAAAACGAACGACCCACCGCAACATTCCGTTCGAACACGTTCACATGTCAAGACAGCCTGTCGAGTACGCTCACCCCTCTGTCACCCAAACAAACCCCGATCACCTCCTCTGCATCATCCACTCAGATCAGTTTTCATCCTCCTCCTCCTCCTCAACCCTCCAATCAGCACCAATCCAGCAATACTATCCCAACCACTACCGTACCACCATCCAACTATTTCTACCAATCACAAACTTCCCTTCACCACACCAATGCAGGTGATAGCACTACCGTATCCAGTACCATTCCCAGCAGAGCAGCAGTCCTATCCTCTAACCACAGCTTGTCGGATATGAATGCAGTAGCAGTACTGGATAGCAACACCACGCCCACCAATAACATACAACGGGTTTTCACGTCAGAAACGAAACGGCGTTTAAGGCTCAATAACTGTCCAAGCGTTGAGTCATTATAAAATCACTTATCAATATTCATTATTATATTCATTATAGTTACTATTATCACCATATTATTATTAATATTATTATTATATTATTATCATTATTATT